ACTCTTGAAATGCACAAAAGACAAAAATCATGGCCGTGTATCTTTCCATATTCTAGCGGAAGATTCACTCTCGTTTTGCACATTTTGAGAGTAGTGCAGCGAGGCCCTTAATCCCTATGCAAAGCGTCCTCCGTCATGGGGGGTATCCCGTCACCGGAAGGCTTCAACATCACACTAAAATCCACAAAAGCGTCCATCTCCAGGTGTCACGCCCCTCCTCTCCAGAGTCTCCGCAGTTCAATATCACCAAAGCTAAGCACAGGTCTTCAGAAAACGGAGTGCGTAGGCTTTCCGATACAACAGCAGGCGTTCGAAAGGATGCCAGACAGAAGTTCTTCAACAATAACAGATCAGAGCTCCCACATCTTATAGCCATTCCGGTCTTGGTAACCCCATAGACTGTTGATACCTCAATAAGACTGCAACATGGTCCCATTGCGTCTGCAGGAAGTGAGCATATCAATATAGAACTGGCATTTCCCAATGTCAGAATTATTATGCTCCATACAATCTTGAAATGCCTTCGCCTGATTAGCACAAGCATCAACTGTCTGACCCCCGAAAGGGGAGCCGCAGGTGCCGCACCACCGCCTCTTGGACCCATCACAGCATCAACTGCTCTGTGCGCCACAGCACTCCCAGTTCCAAACGCCATTCCTTGGGCAATTGTTGAGCCAATGCCGCCGAGAAGCGAGCCTCCTCCATCCGGGGGAGCCTGTGCCACTGGACGAGGAGCTGGGGGAGGTGCAGGCCGCCTCATCATTCCACCTGATCTTCCCTTCGAAGAACGAGGCATCTTCGCGATAAGATGTTTTGCCCCCTCGCTCCCTTGCACCAGCAAGCAGAAACCTTCCCTCGCACGCACCCTTCAGAAAGAAACAGATCTCGTGGAGATGGCTGCAAAAAGCCTGCAGAAACCTCCCTGCGCTTTTGTAGTCGACCCGCCAAAATTCCATGCTCCACGGCTGTTTTTTTGTTTTTTTATATTGAACCCACGACGTCGTGAATGCAACTTCTGTGCCCTAAGCATCCAGCGGCCTAGCTCAGTTGGTAAGGCATGCAAGTGGCATTCAGGAGGTCTTGGGTTCAATGCCCATTGGCCTCATGTACCTTCCTGGGCAAGCTTGGCGCCCGCCACCTAGAGATATGCCGTTGGCCCCCCCGAGTGGCATTGAGCAGAGACTCCTGATGTTCATAGGGGGAGGGGACCGGAGGGGAGGCACAGTGACTGGCCCATCGACGAAGCTCGGTCCTGATGCTACCGGCTGACCCCTGGCTGGTGTCGCCCACCTGCTATAGCAGGTATCGCACCTGCTGGTGGGTGCAGCTCCGGCATGTTCCCTCGTTGGAGGCTTGAGCACGGATGTGGCTGCTACGGGGTTCCCCGTAATACTATAGTGACAATAAAAAAAAAAAGGCCTGAAAAGGCCGTCCTGTCCAGAATTGACAGGTAATTGAATTGGTTGGGCTTAAAGAATTATCCTTAAAAAAAAAATGAAAGATAAAAAAAATTATATGCCCTACCAACTGAGGTAGGCCCGCTGCAAAGCAACCAACAATGCCAACGCCGGCTTGGGGGGCCAACGGGTTATCTCTAGCGTGTAGAACACCAAGCTTCCCCAGGCACGTACGTGAGGTCATTGGAGATTGCACCCCACGACCTCCTGAATGCAACTTCTGTGCCTTACCTTCCCCCACGAAATGCCTCCTCGCTCCTTACGCGTCACCCTTCCGCCCCTTGGCTGCGCTACCGCGCCGGGCGCGGTCTATCAGTTTTATATGGGTTGGAATGGGATCTTCGTCTGCTGAGCCAGTAGGACAGGTCCCAAGGTACGGTGGTGTCTGTGAGATAATGCCATGCAGCGATTTGTAGGGCCGCCCAACAGGCGGCCCTACAATTCTCCCCCCAGTGTAGTGGTGTCTAACGAGGCCCTATGTTTTTCCTGACCTATTTTTATCTGGGTTGGACCTGGGCAACAGCAAAAAAGAGGAAAAAGGAGAAGGGTTTTCCACAAATTTTGCGGAATCGGGGTCTTGCGAACGGTCGGGCGGCGATCAGGAAGCGGCAATGTCCCGCGTGGCTCTCCCATCGATGAATGCAGCCGGGAGCTCGGCGCCCCTCCAAGCTACCGTTGTCGCTGTCGCACAGCTGCACCGTTTGGTCCAGGGTGTCTTTTCTGCATGTCGCACAATGCACGCCGGCGCCGCGCCTTCCCGTCCTTGCCGTCCGTGATATTGCCACGAGGCAATCGAACGTGCGACGACAGCGGGCGTCGTCGCACCACTCACCGACCAGTGTGAAAAAGACGAAAGCCATGGCGGCTGTATTCTTCCACATCCGTACGGGAGATGCATGCTCCATTTTGCACATTTGGTGAGTGGTGGGGCGAGGCCCAGCGTCGCACACACCTGCTGTTGTCGGAGCTGAGTGGCTATTGTGCCAACAGGTGAGGTGCGGCGTGCACCAGAGGCAGCCTTATTCAATCCCTCCTTCCCTCTCTTGTTTTCTCCTTCACAGCCTGCGTGCTCTTCTTCACTTGTCATGTTCGCAATGCACACAGGTCCACGAACAAGTGCATGGCTATGCCAGACTCTTTCCTCTAACTTTCGCCGACTCATCAGCTTGTAGAGATGTGTGTGTGCCTGTGTGCCTCTGTGTGTGTGTGTGTGTGTGTGTGTGTGCGCGACGACCAACGAAAGAGACTCTGTGTGTGTGTGTGTGTGTGTGTGTGTGTGTGTGTGTGTGTGTGTGTCGGACAACCGACGAAAGAGACGCGGTATACGTGTCGGCTTGTGTGAGGTTTGAGCAGAAAGGTTCTTGAAGGTAACGGTGATTGTGGATTTATAATCGGATAATGGGATATAATCCGATAGTCCAATAATTGGACAAGGGGACCGTATCAGCTACCGTCTTCACCCGAGCAGATCGCCCGGTGATGATCGCTGTATCTAGACTGGAAGTTGACCCAAATACGGCTACAATGACCGGCCGTTCTGCCGGCTGAAGACAGTAGGGTTCAACCACGATGATAACAGTTTCTAACAGCCATTTTGCTTGATTTTGAGACAACGGTTTTTTTTTTTTTTTTTTTCCCCAAATAGGTATTGGCTGATACTTCTTACTAGCGACTTGTTTTTTTAATGGGGTTTCTGATCGGCGTCTGCGAAACACTAGCTTTTCACACACACACACACACACACACACACACACACACACAGAGAGAGAGAGAGAGAGAGAGAGAGGATTGCAGCGTTCTTCTGATTTGTGGAAGAAGGCATTGAGAAAGAATGACCGCATTTCTGAAAGAGTTATGTGTTTCTGAAAGTTTAACAACAGCTTCTGTAGCTTAGTGCGCATAAGAGGCCCTCGCTCCACTTGCCAGCATTCCATATGTATCTAGACGGTTGTTCGCACAAGATGCATTCAGACTATTTACCTTCACAACTTGCCTGATCGAACGTTTTGAATGTATTTGGACACTTTCCACCTCCACATACATTTAGAATGACGTGCAGTGGATCGGGTACTCCATACCCCTTTTTTGAAAGAATTTGTTATAAATTGATGTGGCTGAATGGTTCACAAATGTATCTTGTATCTGGTGTATTTTTTTTTATTTTTTTTTTGGAAATGTTGTAAAATTTTCGGAAGTTGATATCTCCCGCTTAAATTGTTATCTCCCGCCTAAATTGTTATCTCCCGCCTAAATTTGGTGGCTGGTATGGAATAGAGTTCGAGTTCTAAGGACTACAGCAATATGAGCGATTCGCCCCCGCTCTTTCCAGAAAGGAAACAAAGGGAAAAAGGAAGAAAAATGGGGGGGAAAAAAAGGAAAAAAAGAAATAGAAGGGAAAAAAAGGAAAGAAACGAAAAAAGGAGAAAAAAAAAGGGGAAAATGAGAAGACAAAATGGGAAAAAAAAGGGGAAAAAAAAGGGGAAAAAAAATTTGAAAAAGGGAAAAACAAAAAGAGGTAAGGGGAAGAAAGGGGGGGGGGGGGGGGAATGGAAGAGGAAGGAAAATGAGGAAAAAAAATGGAAAGGATAAAGGAAGAAAAAGAGAAAAGTGAAAAAGGGATAAACGGGAAAACAAAGGTCACTCAAAAAGCATTTAGGTAAAGATGCCTGCAAGAGAAGGAAGAAGAAGAAGAAGGTAAGCAATGGCCAAGAAATTGCTCTTCATACGCAATAGAATAACTTTTTTTATTGACTTTCTTCTTCTGCCGCAGAAGAAAAAGAAAAAAACTTCGAAAAATAGAAAAATGAAAACGTGCTTGCGGAGGGATGAGCGTGCGGAGGAAGATGAGGGAGAGGTGGTGGCTCCATTATTCCGAAAATGATATTACTTCTGATCACGGAGGAGGTGTTCTCCTCTACATCCTTCCTTTTTGCCACGTCAGCATCGTATCTACTGTATATCATCAGCTCCTTCTTATCCTCGCCTGCATGACACGTCACTCCTCTGCCGCTCAATCATCAATCATCGTCGTTATCATTCGAGCTTTCTCCTCCTCCCCCCCTCCGCCCCCGTCCTCCTCCTCCTCCTCCTCTTCCTGTCTTTTTTGCTCCCCTCGCCCTCGTTCATGTCCGCTTCATCTCTAATCGCCGTGCTTTTGCCTTGCAATCCTATATCTTCTCCTCCTCCTCCCCCTCCTCCTGTCTTTTTTTTGGCTCTCCGCGCCTTTGTCTCTGTCCACGTCATCACTAATCATCGTTATCTTGCCTTGCAATCTTCCTCCTCCTCCTCCTCCTCCTCCTCCTCCTCCGGCTCCTCCTACTCCTGTCCTCTTTGCTCTCCTCCCCTTCGTCCCTGTCCACGTCAGTACTTACCGTAATTTTGCAATGTCGACCTGTGTCTCCTTCTCCTCCTCCTCCCCCTCCTCCCCTGTCCTCTTTACTGTCCTCATCTCCTTCGCCTTGATGTCTACTGATGTACGTTAAAAAAAAAGAAATCGTATGCCTTGTCAGTACTACCCGCCATCACTTTTGTCTAGTGAAGCTTGTCGCAATTATTCTCTCGTCTTCTGCAACTTTACTATCATCACAGTCATCGTCCTTCCGTCTTCACCCGAATAGAACACAGGGTCATTATTGCTGAATTTAGACTGAAAAATGGCCCAAGTACAGCGGTAATGACTCTGTGTTCTATTCGGGTGAGAAGGGTAGCTGCGCTTCCTCGATCAAGAGTTTGTCACGAGTGATTCTTGTCCCGACCTGGAGGAGGAGGGGGAGGAGAAGGGCGAGGAGGAGGAGGGAGAGGGGGAGGAGAAGGGCGAGAAGGAGGAGGAAGAGGGGGAGGAGAAGGGCAAGGAGGGCAAGGAGGGGGAGAGGTCTCGGGATGACGAGGAAGATGAGGAAGAGGGGGGGGAGGAGGAGGAGGAGGAGGAGGAGGAGAGCGAGGAGGAAAAAATAAAATAACATGATGGCATGCTTATCTTGCAGAAGGAGGGAAGTTGGAGGAACCCATGATTTTTTTTATTCTTTTTATTTTTTTTTAAATTTTTTTAAGGACACCCATGGTTGTGGTGGTGCTACGATGACGACGACGCCTTTTTTTTTTTTTTTTAAACCATAATTAATTACATCGTTATATGATGATCTCTTAAAGAAAAAAAGAAAAAAAGAAAAAAAGCGAGAGTTGAAGGACGGACCATTGACTGTCCAATAGGAACTCCACAACAGAGATGATCTATCAATTTTGAATTTCGTAATTGCAATTTTTTTTTTTTTTTAATTTTGATTTCCTATCGCTGGCTATCTGTATTATTTGTAATCTCCTCTCGATTTAACTTAACTATCAGTTTTTTTCAGATTATTCTTCTATCGCCTTCTATTTCATGCTACTAAATTCATTAACTGCTCAGTCTTTGTGTTATATATATGTGATGAAGACTCACAATTAGCAATCATAGATGCATTACCATAGTGCGACAGTCACATGCAAGAAGTCCACAAAAGAGAGAGAGAGAGAGAGAGAGAGAGAGAGAGAGAGAGAGAGAGAGAGAGAGAGAGAGAGAGAGAGAGAGAGAGAGGTTGCACTCCGTCGGATTTGAAGGACTAGCTGATGGGATCTCTCTCGTTGGCTAGAAATGGGTATGTTTTGAGGACTGGAAAGAACAACTCTGCTGTTTTGTCAAAATGTCAGAGAGGCTTTGTAGAGTTGTCTTGAAGCTGAAGCTGTGTCTAGATACATCCCTGAATGTCCTATTGTGGGTATGTCTAGATATATCCCGGAATGTCCTGTGACCATGCTCCTGCCGCAAGATAAAACAGAACAGATCTGGATATGAAGAAATGGTACGGCTGCTGCAAACAAAGGCTAAGTACTTTGCTAACCGTAGCATAGGGACGTATTCACACCAGGTGCTTCTTCGTCTGAATCTGGCCGTCATTGCGTCCAGATGCATTCCAGAAACTCCTGCTTTGAGTATGCCCTAAGCCCCCCTGTCCTGACAGCTACACGTGTTAGACGGCACTTTCAGCCTTGCTCCGCTGCACAGCGTTCTAAATGTATATGAACCTGCCCGTTGTCCATATACATTTGAAATGTTCGAGAAGTCCAAATGTATATATGGTCAGGCACACCATCCAGATACATGTTGAATGCTGAGTAATGGGGCGATGCACTTTGTCTGTGCTCCGTGGATCTCATAGCCACTGCACCGCCAGCTCATTCATCTCATCCAGGGCCATGATGAGTGACGTAATGCTCTCTAGTCACGCTAGCGACTTTTTGCCTGAATCTGGCCGTCCGGGTCTTCCAGATTCATCCTGGAATGTCCTACTGTCTGTGAGTATACCCTCAGTCCCCTTGCCATGGTGAGTAACCTAATGCCGGTATCACGCTAGGGACTTTTTCCCCTGAATCTGTCCATCACTGCTTCCAGATACATCCCAGAATGTCCTACTGTGTGTGAGCATACCCTCAGTCCCCCGGTCACCAGCCTGGTCACCAGCCTGGTGACCAGCCTGGTCACCAGCCTGGTCATCAGCCTGGTTATCGCCAGCCCCGTCACCAGCCCGGTTATTGCCAGCCCGGTTATTGCCAGCCCGGTTATTGCCAGCCCGGTTATTGCCAGCCCGGTTATTGCCAGCCCAGTTATTCCCAGCCCGGTTATTGCCAGTTACTGCCAGCCCGGTTATTGCCAGGCCGGTTACTGCCAGCTGGGTTACTGCCAGCNAGAGAGAGAGAGAGAGAGAGAGAGAGAGAGAGAGAGAGAGAGAGAGAGAGAGAGAGAGAGAGAGAGAGAGAGAGAGAGAAGGAGAGAGAAAGAGAGAGAGAGAGAGAGGCATTTGAGGTAAATGCTTTGTTGTTGTAGAGAGGTAGAGCAACTTCCAGAATGGTCAGATGAAGAGGCGTGGTGTCAAACGGCGCATGAACCTCGAAAGTTCAATCCCACCACTGCAAAATATGCAGCAATTTGCCAATATACCCCTCGACAAGCAATGCTATTTCCATGTGCCGTGAGGGGAACTTGGGCAAGGGTTGGGTGTAGGGAAGGAGGGGTACACACCATTATGAATGGAGGCTATCTACACATGTGCCCCCTTAACCTAGGAACGTTGTTTACAATGAGTGGGGGTAGGACCCTGTGGGTCTTTCCAAGAAAAGGAAAATTGAAGAGTAGAGAAGGGGGTGTGGCCTCGGTATTGGGTGAGCAGAAGGGGAGGGGGGAGGAGGGTAGGGGCAGGAGGGAGTGGTAAGGGGGCAAGGTGGGGAGGGATGGTATGTGTCCGTGGGGTGTGGCGATGAAGAATAGGTGCGCATGCACTCCTCCCTTATCTCAAACAAGCATTCTAATATCGCTCCGGGCAAGCTAGGGAGGGATGGTTTGCGTCCGGAGCGATATTAGAATGCTTGCTTTAGAGTGAGTGTCTCTAGAACTCTTCTTCATGGGGATGCTTACCATGACTGATTTTGCTTTGATGTCCGACCCTCAGTGATTATACCGTCTCCGCCCGAAGAGAACACTCAGTGATTATAGACTGAGTATTCGGGGCCAACAGACCCCGAACACTCTGTCTCTATTTGGGGCAACTTTCAGTTCCGATGCAGCGACAATGACCGGGGGGCGGGTTCTATTTGAGTGAAGACGGTAGGTAGACCCTCTGCATGCATGCCTTCTGGGTGGAAGGCTCGGCTGTTACGGCTGTTTCGAAATCTATGTATCTGATGGCTTGGTCGCTTCGGGAGAGAGGGGGGGGGTCTTGTCACTGCTTTCCCAGACGGTTGTGGGCAAAGAGGGGGGAGATCCAAACCCTCGATATGCACGGAGGTCAGAAGCCAGTAGTCGCTAGGCGCATGGTGTTGAATTGGTGCTTTACTTTCCTTCTCCTTTCCTTTTCTGCTCTGACCATTTTCCGGTCCCATAACTTTTTTCTTCATCTGGTTCTGGAGACCACGCAAGGGCCGGTAAGGTGCTGTCACTCGTTCGTCTGTTTCGTCAACTTACGCTCTTTATAGTGCTCCTGCTCTGGCTGTTGGCAACAGACCAGTTTAATTTTGATGAATTTCACCGATAATGTTTGAAATTCACATACAAGTTGATACAACTTGATAGAAGTAATGATGGATAGGCTGCAAGATCGAATCTGGGTGGACAATGGACACAACAAGAAAGGTGTACGCTTTAGAAAAAGAGGTGTTAAGTTCTCACGTCGACCTTCTTCTTGTGTATGTGGGTGGATGGGTTGCAGGGTACTGGGAAGGCAGGCGGGTGAGCAATAGCTCTCTCATGGCTCTACACTTCAGAATGGTGGGTAGAAGGAAGCATCCCTGGATGATCGAATAAAGGTGGGTGAGAGAAGCTGTGGGAGAAAGAGTGAACGGCTGAGGTTCTGTTGTGATGACAAAAATTGCTGCTCGATCTTCCCAAGTGAGCCTTTGGTCCGTATCATCACAGCTAAGGTACAGCCAAGGTACAAGTTGTGCTGAGTGTTGATGAGGATCACCCGCCAGACGTCTGAGGAGGTTGTCGTGCGGGTGGATGAAGATGAAGGCAACGCTGAGAGGATCTTCTTGTGGGCACAGACAAGATGTAGTATAGGTTCCGTAGTTTCTCGGTCAATGTCCCGTTTTCTCAATAGCCCTCCAGCTAACGGTGGTGGTGTATTTTCACCCAGCCTGCGGGGAGAGATCGGGTGACCGACTTTACTTCTTCAACGCACAATTTTTGGTGCACTTTTAGGAGCGAATTCCTGTGTCATCTGTACCGGCAAGCAGCATTCGTTGTCATATAAATGCACAGGTCTGTAGGCAGGTGGGTTTTACTGTACAGTTTGGGCCCTTTGGGGGGTAAATAAGTAATAAGCCATCACAGAAGTGAAATGCAAGAAACACGCCGATGTGAACTGTTGTTGAGCTTTTCGATGAATGATCTGATGGGCAGGCTTCTGCTGCTTTGAAAACAGAGAGGGAGCTTGATGGTCTGTAACTGATTTACCCATTTCCCACCACCTTGGCGATACGTCTGTTGGGAAGCTCATAGTCCTAGGATGGTTATGCTTTGTGACTTTGTGAAACTTACATAAGAAAGAAGTGCATACGGATCAGATGGACGAAGCCAGTGGAGGTTTGCTAGATTCGGCCTTGCAAAGGCCTTTGAAAGATCAAGCCCAACCAAGTAGCTATACGCTGATGGAGGTGGATGGCAGGAATGGTGGCGCCGAGGAAGCAGTGGCAATGGAAGTTGACGGTGTTCGTGCAGCAGCCACGCCATTGGAAAAATTGCCGGGATCTAGGTCGGTGGTGGGAGATCGTGTGGTTCGTGAAGTTGATGTCCTCCTTTGCCCCCGGCCGGAGAACGATGGCATGCAGCTATACCTCCTTCAATACCCTCTTCGGCCGGCTTGGCGGCCGTACGAACTGGAGCAGCGGTGCCAGGAGATCCGCGTGAAGCCTAAGCAATCAAAGGTGGAAGTGGACCTGTTTGTTGACAGTCACACGGAGAACTACGATCAGGAGGCGCACGACCACTTGAAGATAACGCAGCAGACATTATCGTCTTCCCGTCTGCAGCTGCAAGCTAATTATGCAATTGGTCTGTTGCGCGAAAATGAACTCCACCTCTCGCCATTGAGCGCTGTTGTTCAGTTAAGGCCGAGCATGAAGTATCTTGACGCAGCGGACGAGCGGAAGCGAGCTGTAGAAAAAGTGAACGAGGAGGAGAATGAGGAGGAGGATGGTGGTGGTACTGGCCCTTCGGGCCTCGTCCCGCTTCAAGTGCAGATTCGGCGGAAGTCGACAGAGCATGACGAGGAGCAACGAATGCAGTCGTATGCATACTTGAAGCAGCAAGAAGATGCTGAAGCATGGGTCATTGTGGAGCCGCATGCATCCGGTAGCGACGAAACCATAAAAAGGAGGAATATGATGATATCGTCTTCGAAGGGCACACCAACCACCGTGCTGTCGCCCGAAGACTACGTGCTAACACTGATGCCAGGAAGGCTTTCTGGCAGTGGACATGAGGCGGTTTCGCAGGATGGAACGGGAAGTGCTGGCCTGTCACGCAGCTTCTTGGAGACGCTTCCGCTGGATCGTCGCATCCATGTTCTTTTGTCTAAGGGTCAAACTCACATTCTCCAGTTCGACCGGCTGATGAAGCTTGCACCTCACGGTAGCTCAGAGCTACAGCTTCTTGAGGTTGTGCAGCGGAAGGCGATGCTCGTGCAGGGATGCTGGGTGGCAGCCAGTTACCTGCGATACAATCGCGTTGTCGCAACGATTCGTGATTACATCCTGCTGCTGTTCACAAAAAATCGCATCGTGACGCGCGATATGCTGGAGCCGCTGAACGTGTCGAAAGAGATACTAAGAGAGATTCTTTCACACCTTGCAGTGCAGAGGGGACCAGGGATGGGGTGGGAATTCCACGAAGACACGGACAAGCATTTCATTAGGAAGCACGGGGGGATCGTCAAGGAGCAGGCCGGCCTGTGGGAGATATCGGAGGCGAACATAACCAAAGCTGCGTTATCGATCAGAATCACCACTGCGCAAGAGCTTGGCAATCCAGCACCTATAAGTGAGGAGGTGGAGACAAGAGTGTGGGACGAGGTAATGGCGAGGAGTGCAAAGATAGCTGGTGGGAGCGAGGCACTTAAGGGGGGGGTCGCTGGTGCAAGAGGGGGGGGGGGCATATCGGGTACAGACACGGACTTGTCTACGGGTGCCGGCGGTGGTAAAGGGCGGGGCTTGCTACAGGGCCTCGCTGTGGGGAGAGGAAAGGCGGCATTGGAGTTGCCAATACCCGGCGGAACGATGTCCGAGGAAACAAAGGCTGCACTTCCGGGCGCGCTGAGGGAGATCTTTCTCAAACACAATGTCTGCAATCTGCAGTTCATATGTCAGTGCCTGCGCGAGAGAGCGATTTCCATCTCCGCTGCTCCAAAGGTGAATCCCGCCGTCGCAGCAACCGCTCTCGCTGCAGCAAAAGCAGCCTCTGCACCTGTTGCTGAGCTCTCGGCTGCAATTTGCAATGTCGCCACGTGTATCGATGGCATCTACTTCCTGCAATCCCTCGGAAACCCCACGCTCGACCCCTTCAGGGAGGTGGTCGTCGCCCTCTTGCGAACAAAGAAGGGTGCGTCCGCAGGTCTGAGGAAGGTAGACTTGATCGAAGCCGCAAAGATAGCACTGAAGGGTGATGTGCCGAACATTGTATATCAGAAGGTGTTGAAGGAGCTGTGCTACACAAGAGGAGGAGTTTGGGTTCTCAAACCAGGAGATGGAAGGCCATCGTAACAAAAAAAAAAAAGAAGAAGAAAAGAGGACAGACAGAAAAAAAGAGGGGGATGGAAGGGCTGCTGTGAGTGCGAGTGATGTGTCTGGCAATCTTTCTACTCTCTTTCTGCCGTGAGGGATGTGTCTGCCAATCATCGAACAAAAAAGTTTGGAAAAATGTGTCTGGCAATCATCGAACAAAAAAGTTTGGAAAAAAAACTAAGTAACAGAAGAGGAGGAGGTGGTTGGACTGTGAAGCCAGCAGCAGATGGAAGACCATCTCTGTGTCTGCAGATAGTTTGACAAGAAACGTTAGGAGGTGAAAGGAGGGGGTTGGGCAATGGGCTGTGAAAAAGAAAGCGCACTCTTGCGCCTTCGGCCTTTCCATACTAAGGCCACGGGGCTCTATTAAAGGCAGGCGTTTGGTTAGTGGACCACAGGTCTTTATTTATTTGTTTTTTTTTTTGGGAAAACCACAGGTCATTTTTCATTTCCGCGACTGTATTGTAATTGTCCCTATACTCTTAGACGATGAAATAGCGGGTCTCACGTAACGTTCCCACGCGAGACCCTTTTATTCCCACTTGGTGAAGTACGCGCTCTGTTAAACCACCAGTACCTGGCCCAGCTATCGGCCGCGGCGCTTCCTGTATACGCGCCGCGCCATTTGGGCTTCGGCCTGCCGGACCGCATTGGCAGGAGGCCGCAGGCAAAGCCAGATTTTATAACTGCCCTAAAGTTGACAGCTAGAAAATTGAAAAAGAAAATTGTGACGGC